GCTTAAACTGTCCCGAGCCGTACGGTTCCCGACGCGGGCAGTATCTAAGGCTGTGATGTGAGCTGCGTACAAACCTTTCGTTTACAAAGTACAAAACCACATAAGTATTTTCTTACCTCTTTGGGTCCACAGTGCTGAATAAAAAACTTTACCTGGAGGTTTTTCAGGTAGCAAACGCTGTCAGGGAAGTGAGCCTTCAAAGGCATCATGCTTTTTACTGGGAATTTACTAGCCTGCCTCCAGCCTTTGGAGGGAGCTTCCTCAAAGCGCAGGCAGCACCCTAGAGAGGGTCCTTTGTAGTGAAGCCCATGCCGTGCTGGAGAGGAGAAATCAGATGCCTTGTACTAGCCAGATTTTTTTTCAGCTGTGTTGTTCACTCTGAGTCTTTACCTGCACCCATTTTAGGGTCCTGCATACCTGGGATGTGGCAGGTAGGAGGAGGTGCGGGAGCAGGAGGCCAGAGGTGCCTGCAAAGGGGCGGGGAGAGCAACTACGCACAGGGACAGCATCCCTCAAGCCCTCAAGGAGGTCTCAGTGTAGGGGAGAAAGCAACTTCTGCTTGCATGCTGTGAAGTGCATTTGAGTTGATTTGTTGGGTGTGAGGGTAACATTGTAGGAATTGAGTCTGTGAAATTGTTTTTATTGAAGCAGAATTTAGATTTAAAACTCCTGTCTGCCAAAGGTGGGTACCTGACACATTCATTTCATGTATTTACACGTCAACTATAAACAAAGAAAACAGGTTATTTAGTTTTTTCCTTAGAACATGTGTCATTAGGTTTTACTCTTGTGACATTTAGGCACTAATCTGATCTTACAGGGGTTTGTTTGGATTGATCAGGTGTGTTCCAATAATGGGACAAAATCCTTTCTGTTTTAGTTTCAATACCAACAGTTATTTTAAAACAATGAAATAAAAACAGTAATGCACTGCTCACCAATGCTACTTTAGGGTTTCCTTTATTCAGTTTCAATAAAGCAAAACAATTGTGAAGAGGGACAATTAATGATGCATTTATCTGTGTGGTATATTTGATAGCTCTCTTGCCTTCGAAGGTACTTCTTGTTTGTTTTTCAGAAGAGTGGCTTAATAAGCATTTTAAATGTGAATGCTAAACTGTGCAGTGGTGACACAAAAAAGCTTATGGTGGATTTCTTTTTAATTATTTCAGTCTTATACGCAGGTCTATGTAGAAAGACAGTTCATGTCCTTCTTCAGAAAAAAACCCCAGCAAATCAATCCATACACCTATGTTGTTTCCGTAGTGCTACTGGAGCACTACTTAGGAAAATTTTATATTGACAATCTCAGTGAGAGTTCTTGCAGGTGGCCTGATGAGCCCTAAGTCAGTCGTGCATAATAAATGATGATAACACAGAGACTCTACTTATGGGAAACCATTGATGTTGGCTAATTTGTTTTTGTTGCATAAGCTCAGAAGGAATGATAGGCATCAGAATTTACATTAATTATATTAAAGTCTGTTTTTTAAAAAAAGTAAGACAAGGAAGAGAAGTTAGGCTGTATTTAAGATTCAAATGACTGAGAAGTCACTGAGGAACACATACTAAAATGTTTGTTTGGTTTTGATTGCTCCCACAGTATCTGGAATAGTTCCAAAACCCCAAAACGTAAGAATTATTTCAGTTAATCTTCGTAGCATTTTACAGTGGGATGCACCTATGTTTCACGAAGGGAATATAAGTTACACTGTCCAGTCTAAAAGGTAAGTCAGGGGGAGTTGTGCTTTCCTTAATTCACATTTCATTTCACAGCTGCGTGTGTTTGTGATTTGTTTCCTTTTTTACAGGAAGATCAGTAGCTGTCCCTTTCTTTTAGCTTGTGAGAGGCTTATCTTGAGTTAAATAACAGGGCAGGGGCATTTTCTACACATTTCACACCCAAGGCAGCTTTGTATGTACTTTTTTTGGAACCAGAAACACATTTTAATGTTGGCTGTTATCAGCCATGTGTGTGTCTTTTCTCTATCATGTAGCTTTTACCTGCAATTCAAGAGACTTAGTCCTGCTGAGCGTCAGGTCCTTATCTGGTCTCTCACTCCAGCAGCATTTTGTGCTCTGGCACCAATGCAGCCAGCATGCCTGCACCCTTTGTGGAAATGCCTGATGAGCTGCAGGCAGGTGGCTTGTCCATTCAGTGCCTTAAACTTAGGACGATTTTTTTTTTTTTATGCAAAACAGAAAGAATATCACTTATTATATGGTTCCCAGTAAGTTCTCAGGCTCTTGTTTTCTCGGGCTTTTCCTTATACACATTTCTTAAACACAGATCTGAACAAAGTCCGAGTTAGACAGCAAAGCTGTGCATAGTGATTTTGTCTTAATATTTGCAGACTTGTCTGATAACTATTGTCTGTTGAATCAAATTTTGTAACAACTGTAAATAAAAGGGCATCTATTTACTGAATCATAATTTTCATCTCTATCACAGATTTATAGATGCATATAAAATGCTTAATGTGTGTGCACACACTAGTAATGGCGTTTCTTATACAGAGGATTTAATTTTTCTTGTTCATGAGTCATACCTGCTTGTATTAACAAAGAGATGTGCCACTTTTCTAGTTAATTGAGAGGAAAGACATTTAGTCAGTCATCACTTACCCATCATATACATTTTGTTTCTCTTCCATACAGCATCAATTTGCCTGGACACACATATAAAAATGTGAGCACAAACTTGAGAGTCACAGAGTGTGATGTTTCTTCTCTATCTGCATATGGAAACTACATTTTACAGGTCAGAGCAGAGTCAGAAAATAGCCATTCAGACTGGGTGACCATCAGATTTAAGCCAATGGATGACAGTAAGCCTCTTTCTAATCTTCCACAAAAAATATTGTCTTCTATTAGTGCACCTTTATAATTTGACTCCATAAGAAAAGCTATAGCATGCAGATCATTTTTAAATTTAATTACATTGAAACTGTAAAATCTTATTTGTAACACTTCCATTTTTTTGAAGGCAGAAGTTGCTGTCAGAAAGCATAGTAGGTTCACTATTATAGTAGATGGTAGCATTGGTACTTGAAACGTATTTTAAGGAGATTTTAAAATAAATTTATCTTTTCCCTTAAAATAAGGCTTTGTTTATATTTTTCAGCCAGGGAGGGCTTTTCTTCAAGGATTCAGACTTCCTCTATATCTAAATAAGTTCAATTATTTTCTTCTTCATTGCTTTGTCAAGCAAAAGGTTTCTTTTTTTTTTTAATTTAAAATATTCACCATGAAAGATTACTTTTTAGTCAGAAATTGTCATTGCACAATATTGCCACTCTCTTAGTGAAGCTTTATAGTCTTTTGTGAGAGACAATTTGGACATTGCCTTGCATTAGAGTGCACAAGAGAGATGTTAATCATGTTGCTGTCACCTGAGGTTGGAAATGAGGGAGTGGGTTTTACCAATGAGCGTCCTTTATTTTGTACATTCTTATGCCACTCATAAGCAAAAATGAAATTATTTTAGATTATGTAGTTAATGTTACCCAAGGCTTTTTTTCTCCTCATAGCTGCTAATACAAAACTATGCAGGAAGCTTCTGTTACACCTCAACTTTGAGAAAAACTTTTAAAAATCCTTTTCTTTTTTGTTCTGCCTTCATTTGCTTGAATTTCATCATTCTTTTCCTTGGATTTCAGAGTATAATTTTACAGTGTACAGCCTTGTTTTTCAAAATGCTTTTTATTGGTTGTCTCTCTCCAAAAGCATAATGTTGAAATAATCACCTAGAACAGAAGCACTGAAACATAGCACAGAAAAAAAAAATAAAAAAAATCCAACTTTGCAAGTATAAGTGACAGACAAAAGAAAGTGCAATACAAAAAGTATGGATGGATTTTCAAAACAGAGAGCAAACATGTAAATCATGAACAGAGCTGTAGCTTGACATACATTTGGAAGAGCATGTGGCTTTCAGAGCAGGCTTGGCTTTGGAAAGGCAGCTTATTCCTGAACTGAGAAAATCTGTATATAAAACTACCTGGAAAGAAAAACCTGGGAGTACTGGCCAACTGGCCAAATCTCTGAGGAGGACATGAAGATTTTTTTAATGTTGTCATAGCTGATCTGAGCAGGGCATCATGATAAAAATATCTACTATGCCTTTCTGTGTTATTATTTCTGATAGTGCTTCCTGTATTGTAGAAATAGCCTAAGAAAACCATAGTAACCAGGACCCTCCTCATGTTCTTTTTCTCAAGTTCAACAACATATTCATGAGCATTAAATGAATGCATGGTGCAGCAAGTAGACCTTTTTTTCTAATTAAATTATTTTTAGAGGAAAGCAAAATTGTCTATATATTGGGGTCTTCCTTTATTAGACACTTTATAGTGTGGCTGTAGCCAGGCAGAATTATAGCAGAGGCAGCCAAGGCAGATTTGTTTGTTGGAATTACAGGAGACTTTATTGGAGAGCTCACTGCAGACACAATGTATTTGATAACTAAGCTACTCATTCATTAATTTAAGTAGTGGCACAAAAATATAATAAGGACAAGCCATTTTCAAAATAGGAGAATATAATAGTCTAAGGAGCTCAGTCTTTAAGATATGCAGAAATAATTAAAATGTTTCAGGTTTTCAAAGTATTCAAAATGAAAAAAAAAACATCCAAAACATTAAAACACTTCACTAGAGGCTCTCCTCAGAAAAGACAGATGTTGTAACAGCTTGGCCCAGAAAGAGAAGTGAGTAGTAACCTATAGAAATAGTCCTTCCTCTCCCAGGAGTCACCACACCTGGCAAAAGAGAACTGAGTGAATTTAGTGTATGGGAAGTGTAGTCTGCAAAAATAAATCCTTTTCAAGACCAGTTCTGTAAGGAAAGGATTTGTTTATGCCTGACCCATGAAAGCAAATTACTTTCTTCTAATAGATAAAATTATTTAAAGTGTGAATTGTCATAGGTTGTGTAAAAATGTCAAAATGAAAATAATGTGAAATTAAATTTCGTTATTTCTTCTCTTCCACTCTGTAAATATATAGCAGTCATTGGGCCACCTGATGTAAAAGTGAAGTCAGAGTCTGGGTCCCTGCATGTGGATTTCATAGGCCCTATTGCTGCACATGATAGGTGGCCTCTAAAGCAGTATTACGGCTCGTGGAATTACAGAGTACTGTACTGGAAGAAGGGCAGCAAAACACAGGTAACTTCTGCTTCCTGCATGTTGTGACTCCATGACTTTGATCTATGCTGATGAAGTTCTGAAAGCTAACAGTACTGAAGTAAAAATGTATCTCTGCTAATTACAGTGTAATAAAGTCTAGTCACTACAACTGGTATTCAGAGCAAATGGCAAATAGCTGGGGAGTTAAACAGTAGCGTGGATACAATTTGCTCTTTCCATAATTGGAAATAACTGCTACATTATGAGAGTTTATCCCCTCAGGTTGGTGCTCATTTATCTGTGATGCAGTCTGCCCCACAAAATCTCTCTATTTCACAGACACAAGCAAGGGTAAACTTAGAAGCTGTAACATCAGCAGTATCTGTGGTCATGTAAATAAACTGACTTAGATTCAGATCTCATGTCATTCAAGTATTTGTACTTTTTGTGGGACTCTGGGCTTTGAATACCACCATGTCTGGGGTCTTATATTAACTGTGGTAACCTTCACCTCTTCAGTTTCTATCAGTTGTAATTTGCTTTCTTCTTCTTGTGGACAGCCTCTTCCACAGACATATCTATTACTCAGCCCAAAAGACTTTGTCATACAAAATGCATGGAGAAAGATCATAAATAATGTACTAATTATAGGGTCATGAGTTCTATTGCAGGAAAAAAGGAAGCCCTGTACCAGAATAAATCAGTCACAGTATAATTAGTGCTTTGTACAAAAGTACAATTTTCATATAATAGGGCTCCACTACATACAACTATGATTTGTATTTGTTACCCTGCAAAACTCTGTGGTATTCAATTCCAGAAACTGAGGGATCATCATTTCCCAAAACCCAGACTGGTTTTCAATTCCCAAACTACAAAAAAATTACGGTCTTTGTATCAGAAATAGTGTGGCCAGCAGGACTAGGGAAGTGATAGTCCACCTGTACTCGGCACTGGTGAGGCCGTGCCTCAAATCCTGTGTTCAGTTTTGGGCCCCTCACTACAAGACAGACACTGAGGTGCTGCAATGTTTCCAAAGAAAGGCAACGAAGCTGGTGAAGGGTCTGGAGCACAAGCCTTATGAGGAGCAGCTGAGGGAGCTGGGGTTGTTTAGTCTAGAGAAGAGGAGGCTGAGAGGAGACCTTGTCACTCTCTACAACTACCTGAAAGGAGTTGTAGTGAGGTGGGTGCTGGCCTCTTCTCCCAAGTGACAAGTGATAGGACAAGAGAAAATGGCCTCAAGTTGCAACAGGGAAGGTTTAGATTGGATATTAGGGAAAAATTCTTCACAGAAAGGGTTATTGAGCACTGGAACAGGCTGCCCAGGGAAGTGGTTGAGTCACTATCCCTGGAGATATTTTAACAGACATGCAGATATGGTGCTTAGGGACACAGTTTAGTGGTGGACTTGGCAATGTTAGGTTTGTGGTTGGACTGAATGATCTCAAAGGTCTTTTCCAATCTAAATGATTCTGTGATTCTGTTCTATGATTCTATTTCTGCATATCACACGTAAACTTAGGCAGAGAAAGAGGGAACTTCAGGTAGAATCTGTGCTTGTAATGCTTCAGAGCACAAGTCTGGGAAGTCTGTTTCCTCCTAGAGGAAAGAGTCCAGGAGGTTCCTGGAGTGTGTGGAAGATAACTTCCTGACACAGCTGATGGGTGAGCCAACTAGGGAAGGCACCCACTGGATCTGTTGTTTGTAAACTGAGAAAGACTTGTGAGTGATGTGATGGTTGGAGGCTGTCTTGGGCACAGCAATACAGAGGTGGGGAATAGTGACAAAGGATGAGGAAAAGGCTGAGGTACTTAATGCCTTCTTTGCCTCAGACTTTAATAGTAAGACCAGTTTTCTCCAGCCCTCTGAGCTGGAAGACAGGGACAAGCAGCAGAATGAAGCCCCCATAGTCCAAGGAGAAATGGTTAGTGACCTGCTACACCACTTAGACACACACAAGTCTATGGGGCCAGATGGGATCCACCCAAGGGTACTGAGGGAGCTGGCAGAGGTGTTCACCAAGACACTTTCTGTCATTTCTCAGCAGTTCTGGCTAAATGGGGAGGTCCCAGTTGACTGGAAGTTAACCAGCATGATGCCCATCTACAAGAAGGGCTGGAGGGAGGATCCAGGGAACTGCAGGCCTGTCAGTCTGACCTCGGTGCCAGGGAAGGTTATGGAGCAGATCATCCTGAGTGCCAGGATCAGGCAATCAGGCCCAGTCAGCATGGGTTTATGAATGGCAGGTCCTGCTTGACTAACCTGATCGCCTTCTATGATGAGGTGACCCACTTAGTGGAGGAGGGAAAGGCTGTAGATGTTGTGTACCTAGATTTTAGTAAAGCCTTTGACACTGTTCCCCACAGCATTCTCCTGGAGAAACTGGCTGCTCATGGCTTGGATGGGCATACTCTTCACTGGGTAAAAACCTGGCTGGATGGCTGGGCCCAAAGAGTTGTGGTGAATGGAGTTAAATTCAGCTGTCAGCCAGTCACAAGTGGTGTTCCCCAGGGCTCAGTGCTGAGGCCAGTTCTGTTCAATACCTTTATCAACGATCTGGATGAGGGGATCGAGTGCAGCCGCAGTAAGTTTACCAATAACACCAAGTTGGGTGCGAGCATTGATCTGCTTGAGGGTAAGAAAGTTCTACAGAGGGATCTGGACAGGCTGGATTGATGGGCTGAGACCAGTTGTACGAGGTTCAACAAGGTCAAGTGCTGGGTCCTGCACTTGGGTCACAACAACCCCCTGCAACACTACAGGCTTGGGGAAGGGTGGCTGGAAAGCTCCCCAGCAGAAAAGGACCTGGGGGTATTGGTCAACAGCTGCCTAAATATGAGCCAGCAGTGTGCCCAGGTGGCCAAGAAGGCCAATAGCATCCTGGCTTGTATCAGAAATAGTGTGGCCAGCAGGACTAGGGAAGTGATTGTCCACCTGTACTCAGCAATGTTGTGGCCACACCTCACATACTGTGTTCAGTTTTGGACTCCTCACTACAACAAAGACACCGAGGCTGAGGGGAGACCTTATCACTCTCTACAACTACCTGAAAGGAGTTGTAGTGAGGTGGGTGCTGGCGTTGTCTCCCAAGTGACAAGTGATAGCACAAGAGGAAATGGCCTCAAGTTGCACCAGGGAAGGTTTAGATTGGATATTAGGAAAAATTTCTTCACCAAAAGGGTTATCAAGCACTGGAACAGGCTGCCCAGGGAAGTGGTTGAGTCACCATCCCTGGAGGTATTTAAAAGATGTGCAGATGTGGTGCTTAGGGACGTGGTTTAGTGGTGGACTTGGCAGAGCTAGGTTAACGGGTGGACTCAATGCTGTCAAAGGTCTCTTCCAACCTAAACAATTCTATGATTCTATAAATTTCCGTAGGAATCAAAGAAGAAAAAGGCATAGACTATGTAACTTCATAGGTTGTTTTTTGAAGTGGATGCTTGCTCAAAATGTTGAAACCTAGTTACTGAGTCTTTTCACCCCTGAGAAAGAATCCATTACTACGTAACGGGGCATGTTGTAGGGATTCCTTCTAATCTTCAGGGACCATATAGTTACAGGGACTTAACCAATCATGCCTCTAAACAGCAAGTTGCATCTCCTGTCAGTCACCAAGTAGCTTCCATAAACCTTTTTCTTTCTCTGTCTTTTTCTTTCTTTCGTCTAGATCGTCCACCCTGTTGCTCCATCTCAAATTAAATTATGCTTGTCTGTGACATCACTCTTACTTGATCTTATTTGGTTAGGCCATCGCTTCTCTCTGCAAGCAGATCTCATTTATCACGTCTCTGCAGGCCTCTTTAGCCTAAAACATCATTAATGCTGGTAGAAGCAGCCAGAAACTCAGTGGTGTGAGTGGTCTCACAGGTGAAATCAATGTCGAGTTATCAGCTATGTGACATGGGCAGGTCATTTCATTCATTTAATTCCAGGCCTTTAAAAGCCTTACCCACATTACATCTATATCTGCTAGGATTTGTCCTACTAAATGTAATTTTAACTATGTAGCTAGTTCATTCATTGGACTCATGCTTTTCAAATTTTTTGTATTCTTCTCTTTTATTAGGTAGCTCACATAGATACTAAACATAACTCTGAAATATTATCTCAGTTGGAGCCGTGGACAATATATTGTATTCAAGTGCAAGCAGTTATTCCCGAGTGGAACAAAACAGGGGAACTGAGTGAAGAGCTTTGTGAGCAGACAACCCACAATGGTAATACCTGGTGCATCACAATGGGACATGCGCTGCAGGGAACTAGGAAATACGGAAAGCCGTTCAAAATGAAAACCGATGTAATGTGTGAATCTTTCAAAAATGAATGTGTTTGTTGCTTTAGTATTGTTTGGTGGTTAATAGGTGTGCACCTTTGGAGCAAAGGAGTTGGAAACGAAGTGAAAACTACAAGCAATGTAGCAACCAATGGCATGATGCTTTACTTTGCTGCAGAAGCCTGAAAATCAGAGTGAAATGGAGCACAGGCTCTTCGCTGATCACCGTGTGTGCCTGAATTTCTTTTACCGTTAGCTGTATTCATTATCCTATGAAATCCTTTGTTCCATATATCTGTAACTGAGAAAGGATTTGGACCCTGTGTTTCAGTCTGCTTCATCTGTGGACAGTGTCTGTCGTGAGGCTAGGCCATGACACTCTTTCTCTGTGACACACAGCAGTAATCAATAATATAAACAATTATTTTGTCTCAATGCGCTTTCCTTTTCATTTGGAAGGCAGTTAAGTACCAAAAGCGCTTTCCTTTCCAGCCATGCCACCTTAGCTGCTGTCTGTGGAGTCCAGCAGTAACCACCACATGGTCTGACCCTGTTGTCTTAGCAGGGAGCTTCATGTCCCTAGTTAAAAGAAAGAACATAGTCCTAGATACTGTCTTTTTCACAGGCATAATGTGTATTTCAAGTAACTTACACCCTCAGATAAGTTGTGTAAAATCACAAGTTGATGAGGAAGCCATCTAGGGGAAGCCTGGGGAAGCAACAGGGCTAACCTGTTTCTCATATGTTTTTCCTCATAAAATGTTTCCTCATATATTTTTCCCACATGTATATTATCTGCATGCCCTGCAGTTGAATTGGAGGTAGGTTTTGGTGGTGGTCTTGCTTGTTAGTTCCTGGCTAGAACAGTGCTTAGCAAGCATAGGTTGATTTAAAATGTTTATGCAGTGATGTATGGATACATCTTCATTCCCACTGCCTGTTGTGAAATCCCCCATACATGGCATAATTTTTCTAAAGGCTCAGAAGTTTAGAATTTTACAGGCTTTCATCCCCTGCTATCTTTGCTTTGCTGCCATGCCATTTTTACAGATTTCTTTAAGAAAGAAGTAGAAGCCTATACTCTGGTAGTGTTATGTGTCAACTCCTACACTCCTGAAACACCAAAGAGTGTGCAATAGTTTTTTACATTATCAACTGTGGATGGTTCTGTTGGTCTTTTTTCCTTTAATCATTTGCCTAGTATTGCATGTAGAATTACCAGTATGTGTAGCTGTAAATATCTAAGAATGATGGCTTGTAAGCTTACTTTATTGAGAATTTCCTCAGCCTATCCAGACTAAAAATTTAAGAGCTAAAGAGCATCTGGAAACAGACACTTATGTTTGCAGTTACAATTTTGTAATAGTTTGGGTTTTTTAAATTCCATAGAAAAAGTGATAATTCAAAAGAATATATTCAGAAATTAATAATCACACTTATTTCTTCTTGTCTCTTGCAGGTGTAACTCCTGTGTGGATAATTGTGAGCGTTCTTATAGGATCAATGCTGGTTGTTGCAATATCTGTTCCTGGTTTTTTCTTTTCTTTTTTGTATCTATATCGACTCACCAAACATGTTTTCTGCCCTTCATATATTTTCCCACAACACTTGAAAGAGGTTTGTTTTCTACCTAACACAATTAAAATCAGCCTTTTCAGCAGAACCACCTGCCTTTCAAAGGCTCTTTGTGCCAAAAACTTTAGAGCTGCTTTTATTTTGCCTTCTTTCATTTGTATCTGATTGTTAGCCATCTGTAAAGGGCAGACTATTCTGAGGGGATTTTAGACTATAAGGAGCAATGCTGGTTATCTGTTGTTATACAGTTGTTATGTATGGTAAAACTCGCTCTTCTGACAAACCTAAAAAGCCATTCAAATAAAATTATGAAGTTGTGAACTTTGGAAAAAGCTGACAAGGGAAGGTACTTTTCAGTGTGAGAAAGGTAGTGGAAGTTGGTTCATTTGATACTTAATTTCTGGCATTATAGGGTCATAAACTTTGCATGAATGTTATCTCAGTTTTTTCATCATTTTCTGTGGTGCTGCACAGACATAAGTAAGAAGCAGTGAAATTAGACTTCCTTTTGAAGTATACTGATGTATAATAAACTCTAAAATACTGTCACTCTGAATTGTTCTGCACAGAATGGTCCAAAATATTTAAAAGCTGAACAACTTAAAATCTTGGCATAGACTTTTAATCCTAAAGCAACTGCCTAATTTGTAATATAAAGCTTTATGTGGCTTAGAAACAGGATGTTTTCCTTCATTTTAAAGTGAGAAAATAACAGGTGTTAACCTTCAGTTCCTTTTTTTAGATAGTGAACTGAGCTATCTGTCTCAATTATCTCATTTTAGACTTAAAATTGCACATTTGTTCTCCTGAAACAAAGCTCTTTTGCAAATACAATCATGAGTTTTAACTTAATTAAAGAATGAAGTGAAGTTTGAAAATTCAAGATTAAATGGGAGCAATGAATGTTAGCCTTACTGCTAGGGACTATCACTGACCCCGTTACTCATATAGTAACTTAAAAAGGCTGTATCAGAACCTCCTCCAAGAAACAAGGCTATAGAGTGTTACATAGGCTGAAGTTAGCAACCTATACTCTTCTAAGCTTCCTGCAGTTTATCTTGGGTCTTTCATTTTCCCTCATTTAGAGATCAGCAGACGAAGGCTTTGCAGCTGACTTAGCTTGTTGCACTTAAAGTCTTGTGCTTTAAGTTGAGCGCATGCTCAGCACACCGTAGTAAAAGAGCTCAGCTGTTGGGGAGGTAGCATTGTTCTGGTCAATACAGGATGTGGTCAAATTTCATTTTGCCCACAGGTTTCTCACAAGAAAGGAAGAATTTTCATTTTGTGATAATGGGCTATAGTGGTTAATCACATTAATCAAAGGTCAGTCATGCTTACCTAAAATGACATTTATCAAAGGTAATGGTTTCACCACATGAACATTTGAGATTGCAGGCTACTGACAACATTTTGAATCACAGCTTGCTAGAAAAAAGTCTAATAGTACTAATATTAGTATTTATTTTTGTAATTACAGTGAGCAGTACTGCTGATAGAGCAGCTTGTTTCTTATATAAAATGCACTAAAAGTAAAGGTAGTAGACAGGGGTCGGGTCACAAGAACAAAATGTCGTTGTACTCCTCCAGCCACTACCAATGAAATGAACTGCCACTTCAGCTGCCACAATGAGTGGGTGACATGTTATTACTGTGTTGAGTAGGTGTGCTATTCTTGTGTTGACATTCAAAATACAGTCATGACATCCTGCAAGTCCATGTTGATTCTTGAAGTCGGTTCCATCTTATCAATAGAACAGGGAGTGGGAGGAAATTGTGATAGTTCAGTACTAAAATTAAGTCATCTTTCTCACTGAACTGCATAGCCCTGCAAACCTCCATCCCTCTCCTTTACTTGCCTAAATGGTTATGGTTTATGTTGACATTTAAAGCATCACTATTTGATGTCTGAGCAGACAGTTCTGAGATGGCAGGAACAATTCACATCTCTTTGAGCTATTTGACAAATCTCTCTGTGAACTCCTTCACCTACAGTGAAGTCACCATTTTTAGGTTGTGTTTCCAAATAAAACCTAGGCATTTTATTTTTTAAAATAAAGTTTATATTCCAAAGAAGTCACTAACCCCCAGGGTATCTTATTGCAAATAAAAGCATTTCTTACCTGTTTACAAGCCTTGCACAGGATGTTAAAGCAAGCAGAGAGGTTACTACATTGTTGCCATTCTGGGACTTGTAAGGATTGAGAACCCAACTGATGTGTGGAAAACAATATAAAACATATTTCTAAGTAAACAGGATGGTATGGTTGGTGCAGCCTAATTCTCCTGTCCTCTTTCTTTCACAGTTTTTGAGCAAGCCTCCCAGCAGTTTGGAGTTTTTTCCTCCACTCCCACAAGAGGAGCATCTTCCCTATGACAAGCTAACTGTCATTTCAGAAGAACCCAAAAATCACTGTGATGAGACCAGGGATGAGGTCAGCAAGACAACAGATCTCTTTCAGGACTCTGAACAAGAAGATCCTGATTCAGGAATAGTACCAGCTTCAGAAAAGGCCTAAATGCACTCCTCATCCTTCACTCAGGAAAAGCAAATGGGCTGTTGAGTTTATCCTCTTACTGCTGCATTCTTAAGACAGTAAAAATTCATATACGAAGATGTGCATACAGACTTTTGACAGAATCATATTTTTTTAAAGTATAAGAAACTTGACTATAAATGAGTAATTAAATGATACGTAATTTTTGCCACTGTTTGTAGTGGCTCACTGTTAAGTTGTAGCAATACCTAGGACTGTATTATGACATTAAATTAAAAAGCAAATATTATGTATATATAATAGTAGTTAATTTAACTTTGATGAACTATTTATTTCAAAAGCTAATAAAAATAGCATATTGTGTAAGGTTTGTAAAAGAAAATCATATTTTGTAAAGAAAGACCTGATCCAACTTTTTATTTTTTTAATGAGATATTGTTTGTATTTCTTAAGGATATCCCTAGTGGCATAATCTTTCTATTGAATATTTTTTTACCTGATGCAAAATTGTAAAGTTATTATGATGGCATGAATAAACCAAACACAAATATTCAGTGTGGTTTGCATTGCAAGGTGTTACTCATGCTTCATCACTAAGGATAATGGGAACATACCAGTACACTGCTGGATAGCCTTCTATGTTCAGCAATCAGTCTCCTGAGTCTCTGACCTATACTTTCTAGGGCTAATTAAGTTTTGCCTACCTAATCCAGTGTCCACTGAAGTCTGTGGAAAATTTTGCAGCTACAGTGAGTGTTAAAAGGTAGGTTCATTTTATTGTCTACTGACACATATTCTTAATTCAAAAAAAGTAGATCCAGGCTGATGTGACTCCCATGCTATGTAATACAATCTCACCTGCAGAGCCCTGTTCATGCATATGAAGGTTATGTCCACACCAACACAGGGCATAAAATGTGCCCTTTGCACTGTGTGCTAATTTTGTGAGCGACACAACTTTTTTGGTGTGTATTATTACATCAAAATGAGAGTGAAAAGTTAAATTCTGTCAGCAAAAGTAACTTGCCACAAGTCAAGTTGTGTGTAAATCATAACTTGATGTGGGAATTGCAAAGTTTTTCAATTTTGGTTTTGAGGTTTGTTAATTAGTGCTTCAATATTTACTTCTTGGGAACTGCTGCAGGAAGAATACATAAGGTGAACAGGCATTGATTCTTTGTACCACCCAGGTATATGTAATCTGCACACATTTTTTCTGCCCTTTTTAATTTTCATCATATTTCGGTTAAATGTGGAATATGGAAAAATGGGGAAGCATTTTCATTTGGGTTTTTTTAAGGCATTTTGTTTCACTGGTGCTTTTCTTTACCTCTCACCAAAGCTGCTCTGTGAGTGCTGATCCTAATGAAGGCCGATATCCTGTCTCTGGTACACTTCTTCACTGTAAAAATTTGGGTCCCTGTGTGTTCCTGTGTTCTCTATCCCTCCTTCCACAGTAACAGCTTCTTCTATGCAATCTTTTTTTTTTTTTTTTTTTTTTTTTTTTTTTTGGCTTTCAGAAAGGCAAAAACCAGCATTCTCATGTGACTAATCCATGTGCTAGTTGGCTGGCCAGCTACTGTCAGAAGAGAAGAGGGTTGAGATCTCCCTGCCTTTTCCTTCCTTCTTTAGTAAAGCTCATTTCTTCTATCCAGCAGCTCATTTTCATGGAAGAGCAGGAAGCTAGTGTCTATCAAATGTGGCTGAAATCAATCAGCTGGTTCAAAGGTTATGATGAGGGCACAGATAAGGCAGTCCCATGTGCTCTGCCAATTCATTACAGGTTCATCGGTAAACCAGATTGTGGGAGAGAAAAAAAATAATCTTGGCTGTTCAGACACACAGTCTTTTTAGATTAAAGCAGGAAGAATGTGTGCAAGAACATTGTCTCCAAGCGATGAGTGGTTGGTTTCCCCCATTTAAAAAGAGGAAGCATTTCACCTCATGTCTTTGCCAAAATAAATTTTTGTACTACCACATGAGAGAAGAAAGACTCTGTTCTCAGAACACTGCTTCCTCTTTCAACACATCCAGACACATGGGGAAAGGAAGGATTTGTCCTGACCCCTTTGTTTAACTTTTCTTTTATATATGTAACACAGTGTCTTTCTTAAAGAAACAGCTGTTTTAAGTTCATGTGAGCCCATCTTTAACCTACTGTCTATATCATCATCATCAAAATGCCTTTACATAGGGAATTCCAAAATTAAAAATAATATGTTAAGATTCCAGCTGCACCACGACTAGCATGAAATAGGAACAGATTCCCCAACTCTGCATCTCAAAAGGTCATCAAAGTTTCCAGAAAGTCCAGAGACCTGTACAACTCCATCAAAGGTACAACCGGTTGTCTGAGGACATCAAGCTGGCACAGCTGCTCCTGTTGTTTACATTATACTTTTAAAAAGTAGATTGCAAGGTCCTCAGAGCCAGGACTTTCTTTTCCAATCTATGTGAGTAACACAGTTACAAACACAATGTAAATCACAACTGGAGATTTGCACATGGCTTAGATTTTCAGACATGCTGCCATAATGGTACAACCAGGCTCTGAAACCCACCCTAACCAAGCACAGCTTGCTGATTATTATGAAAAATTATTTATAAAGATGAAAGCTGTAGATGTATTACAGTTAGGTATTTTGAAGATACTAGATAGGTCTCCACTGGCTGCAAAAGGACAGGTTGACAGCAGGCATTCCACAGTCGTTCAGCTTGGTTGATGCAAATCATGACACCTCTGTTCTTCAAAACCTAATGTACTGTTCTCACCAGATCCCTGTGTTTTATTTACCTGAGTTTTCTCACGTGCTGAAGATACTCAGCTGTCTCATGGCTAAAAACATTTCTGATACCCAGAATGTATCAGAACCAACTTTGTCCTTGTAGATCTTAGGGTGGAGGATCAAAAGAAAAGGGCAACAGCTAAACCTAGGAGTCTTTCTAGAACTTCATGACTGTGCAAACAAAACACTAATATAGGAAATATCCTTTGAAATACACTTAATAATAAAGTCCTGCGGTACAGCACTACCACCTTTATTGCTCCAGCTCTGAGCCTGGCCTTGCTCATTGCACCTTCTCCTTTCCGAAAAATGACAAACTGCTGCCTGCAGTGCAGTGTGCCAAGAATACAGCAAAGGCGAGACCAGAAGGGTGCACAGAGCAGGTAAAGGCTGTGTCATCTCAGCACCAGTATGGGAGCTACTGTGAGAAACAAATTACTTCAGCTCTTGTCTTTGCATTGCGGCCTCTGCAGAAGCACGGACTGGGGCCTTCTGACTCTCACGCAGCAGGAGCCAGTCTCACAACTTCAGAAGCTTCTCCTGGAAGAGAGACTTTGCTCACATCTTCCTAAAGAGAAAGGGCAGTTTGCTAGAGCAACTGATTAAAAAAATCTTTTTAAAAAAAAAGACTGATGCCAGGCATTTTCCTTCTTACCCTAGAGGAGTTGCTCCTCTGGTCCTAGCTTAAGCCTTTAACAGGACACCTGGGCTATATGGAGGAATTATTTACCCCTTAATAACCTGCAGAAGAAAAGGAGGTAAGGATTGCAAGGTAGAGGAGAAACATTGCCTGGAAGGCTTAAGTTTGCTGATTAGTTCTCATCTCAAACTATAACCATGTCCTGGATAATACCAGCAAAAGTTAGGGAGAAATTCCCACTGTAGTACAAACCTGCAAAGATGCAGAAACCAGTATCAGAGAAATACAGGATGTCACACCCCATTGTTGGATCTTCGCCACCATAAAAGCCAGAGAGCAGTTGGTCAGATTGAAATGCAAAATAGAATGAGAAGGGATATTGAAATATTTTTGAAAACTTTAACTGCTACTATGTAGCTCTCCCAGATGTGAAATACTCTGGTCCCAATGAGATTAAACTCTCAAAAGTAAATAGTTTGTAACACATGAAGGAAGAACTCGCATTGCATAGATATGTACCCATTTATATTGACAAAAGAGTTTACTTGTGGAAAAATCCTCAACTGTAGCCTTGCTATTTGGAAGGGGGGGCGGACATCTACTTTTATGAAGTGGAGTTTCATGTGAACAGAGCAGTCCAACCATGCTTTGTCCAAGAAATGTAGAAGTAGAGCCCAAATATCCAAACACAGTGACAGGAAAGAAGCAGGTGGTGTTTTTTTAATACATATGTCACCTGTAATGTTTTTACCTTTCAAGACTATGCAGAAAAACTATCACGCAGCTGCAGAATATCAATGTATTAACAAAAATTCAATCTAATTCCTTTCAGTGCACATCAATTGACTTTCTGCATAAGACAGAAGTAGTAGGTTATATTTTTACTTCAGTAAGATTTTTCACAATATCTTACAAGATACCATCACAGACAAGTTAAGGAAAACTGGCCTAGGCAAAAGGAGACAAATGTGGGGCTTACAGCGGGTCATAAACTATAAATGAGTCAATGTCTCACTGTTAAGAAAGAGGCAAATGCCATACAGACACACAAACTGCATTATAGTCCATGAAATAATTCTTCCTGCTACTTAGCACTAGTAAAGCCATGTGGAGAGCTATATCCAATGCCGGGAAAAGTCAGGAGAAAGACAAAAAACATGCTTGCTGGAGGAAGATAGTGTTGTGCGGTCTGTCAAAAAGAACTCTGATGGCAATATAATGACAGTTTTCAAAAATGTGACAGGCTTCTGAAAAAATGAAATGAATAATCTATGCTCTTTGTCCATGACAGACATGAAAGCAGTTATAAGACTGCAACAAGACAGAGATAAGGAAAAATTTTCTAATGATGAAACAGAAAAAGCATAGGAGACACTGTCTGAGAAGTGGCATATTAAAAAGAAAACCCAACAACTAAAACCAAATGTCCATTAGGAAGGGGGTAGATACAACTGATCCTGCCTTGGGGCTGTACAATGAACTCCCTAAGGTCCCTCCTTCCTGAACTTATGTTTCTATGCTTTTCAAACAAGATCAAATGTGGTATTTGCTCCTTTTATCCTGTTCCAGAGTTGATATGAGAAGAAATAAGCAAA